CCATTTGGGTGTGTCATCATCCTCTCGCAGGGACCGGGCTTATCTGCTGTATTGTTTTTTGTTTTTTGTTTTTTTTTAATGGCTGTAAACAGATTCCCTGCACCTGATCATCCTCCACACCTTGTACTGCGGTCCTTCTCCCCGTCATCACGCATTCACTGACTTAGTCACTCTCTCCCTCCCTCACTCACTCACTCACTCAATCAATCAATCAATCGGTCGATCAATTAATCAATCCGTCGATCAATTATTGAATCAATCAATCTCTGAATCAACCAATCAATTAATCATCATCACCATTCCATCGTTGTCGTCGTTATCCTCAGCATGATTTAACCTTCGCCTCAGCATCTTTCTCCTCTGCATTATCGTCATCCTCCTCATCGTCGTCAATGTACGTTCGCCGATCTCCCTTTCCATCACCATAGCCGACATCCACTCCGAGGTCTTCCTAGTCGTCGTCGCTGACAAGCTCATATCGTTACCCCTCGTTGTGTTTTTTTTTTTTGTTTTTTTTTTAAGATAATAATTCTTGTTGTCGTCATCCTTGTTATCCTTATTGTCGTCATTAATGAATGCTGACGAGGATGACCTTCGTTCTGTGTGTTTTTCTTCATTGTCCCCTGTACCTCTTCCGGGCCTCTTCTTCGTCCGTACAAATGAAGGTCATCCCTCTTCTTCGTCCGTACAAATGAAGGTCATCCCTCTTCTTCGTCCGTACAAATGAAGGTCATCCCACTTCTTCGTCCGTACAAATGAAGGTCATCCCTCTTCTTCGTCCGTACAAATGAAGGTCATCCCTCTTCTTCGTCCGTACAAATGAAGGTCAACCCACTTCTTCGTCCGTACAAATGAAGGTCATCCTGCGTGATATCACCGTCATCTTCAGGTCTTTTCGAGGTCGCGAAAGATTGTCGTGAAAATCAGGTTAAAAAAAAATATTGCGCTTCTACTTACTCCTTCTCGCCATCATCACCATCATCATCAGCATCGTCATAATTGTCGTTGTCGTCATAATTGTGGATGTCGTCATCATCAGCAGAAGCATCTCATCCTCATCGGCATCGGTGTTGTGTTTTTTCATTGCATTTCCTTGTCTGCGTATGCTTCACCTCGTCATCGTCGTTGTGGTAGGGGGAATAGGAGGGGAGGGGAGATGAGAAAGGCGAGGAAGATGAGGATGGGCCAAGGAGGACAAGCTGGGGAGGAGGAGGAGGAGGAGGAGGAGGAGGAGGAGTGATTGCTTGGCGAGCTCTCAAATGTCTCTCCCTCTTGTCTATCTTCTTAGTTCCTGTGAATGTGGGCGATCTCCCTCTCGTTCTTTCAGACAGGAAAACCAGACAGACACACACACACACACACACACACACACACACACACAC